GCTTTTTCTCCTCCCGCCCCTCTTCCCTCTCCTCCTCATCCTTCTCTTCTCCCTCCTCTTCTTCTTCATCCTTCTCTCCATTTTTTGTTTTTATTATTTTATTATTTTTTTTATTTTATGTGTATAAGTGTATTGCCTGTATATATGTGAGTGCACCCATGTCATGCAATGCCGTGGAGGTCAGAAGAGGGCTTCAGATTCTCCTGGAACTGAAGTTAAGGATGATTCGTAGCCGCCATGTGGGTGCTGGTACTCGAACCTGGGTCCTCTGCAAGAACAGTCAGTGCTCTTAACTGCTGAGCCATCTCTCCAGCCCCCATCCACTCTTCTTTAACATAGTGCTTGAAACTCTTCCTAGAGCAATAAGACAAGAGATAGAAATTAAAGGAGTACTAATTGGAAAAGAAGGGGTCAAACTATCACTTTTTGCAGATGATATGGTATTATACTTAAAAGATACGAAAAATTCCACCAGAAAACTCCTAGAAATGATTAACATTTTCAGTCAAATGGCAGATTATAAAATTAATCTACAAAATTGGTAGCTTTTCTATATACCAATAATAAGCTATTGGAGAAAGAGTACATGGCAATCCTCCCATTCACAATAGTTAAAAAAATAAATCTTGGAATAAACCTGACCAAAGATTAAAGACCTCTACAATATGAAAATTTTAAATCTTTAAAGAAAGAGATTGAGGAAGACACCACAAGACGGAAGGACCTCCCATGCTCATGGATTGGAAGAGTTAATATTGTGAAAATGACCATCCTATCAAAAGCTGCTTATAGATTCAATGCAATGCCAATATAAATCTCCCTGTATTCTTCACAGAATTAGAAAAAAAATCCTAAAATTCATACAGAAGCACAAAAGACCCAGATAGTCAAAGCAACCCTGAGCACAAAGGGCAATGCTGGGGGATTACTATATCAGATTTCAAATGATATTACAGCGCAATAATCATAAAAACAGCATGGTACTGACCCAAAAATAGACCCTTAGATCGATGGAACATAACTGAAGACCCAAAGAGGAGTACACACAATTTCAACCACCTGACATTTGACAAAGGGTCCAAGAACACTCATTGGAGGAAAGAGCAACTTCCACAAAGCTGGCAAAACTTATATAGGAATGAGACTAGACCCCTGTCTTTCACCTTGCACAAAAGTCAACTCCAAATGGATCTTAGTGTGAAATTTGAAACTCTGAAACTGTTAGAAGAAAACACTGGCAGTAACCTACAAGATAGAGGTGTAGGAAAAGATTTTCTAAATCAGACATCAGTTGCTCAGGAATTAAGGTCAAGAATCAAAAAGTGGGACCTCATTAAACTAAAAAACTTCTGTACAACAAAAGAAACAACCAAGGAAGTGAAGAGAAAACCCACAGAGTGGGACACCAGTGACATATCTGACAGAGGTTTAACATTCAGAATCTATAAAGAACTCAAAAAAGGAGAAAGAATCAAGAAAAAAAAATGATCCAGTTAAAAGATGGACTAAAGATCTAAACAGAGAGTTCTCAAAAGAAGAAATAA